ACATTATATCAGACTCAATGTTAAGAACTAAAGGAAGGATTGTTAATCATCTTACCTGGAATTTTAGGTGGCGCTCCTCTGTCGCCATAACCTGTAGTTGAACAGTCACATATTTCAAAATATGGTCTAAAAATCATACATTTTTCATAGATTTTGAAACTCACGGAACATATTACATTTCCGTAACACTCACCAAGCTCAGAGGGAATAACCAGCTTCCTCTTCTCACCCTCACACATCCTAAGAGTTAAGAGAAGGAACATCATATGCTAAATAGTCTTTTTATAAATCGAGACATCAAAGATATGACAGGAAATCAAGGGTAAAGTAAAAAGGAATATGATGTCAAACTTGAACCCTATCACACTCTAGACAGTTTGCAGACCCCTTGGCCACAGCATCAACACATGCTAATATATCTAACAGAGTTTCACAATGGCTCTTAAATCTAATCTTTATTAGACTAATGTTAGGTTCATCTCTTTAAATCCTAATCCTGAATGATGTATGACACAGAATCTCAGATTATCTAGATGCCGCTCACCCCAACAAACCCTGATCCCAGCCCTTGATGACCTGTCCCGTGCCAAGAGTGAAGGTGAAGGGCTGATTCCTTGGTATACTGCTGTCAAATTCTGTCCCATCCTCCAATTTCCCCTGCAGATAAAAACAGACAGTTAGAAGTCGAATTTTTTTTGCCATGAATAACTGAACAGTGAACACTTACAGTGTAGTGCATGTTCAACACGTCTCCCTTTCGGGACTTTATAGGACAGTTGTCCACTCTTTTCTTGATTCCAATCTGCAGTTTTTTCTTTTCAGCCCCTTGCACAAGAGCCATGGGGATGGACATCAGAGTGACAGCTAATACCAAATTCAGTCTCATGTCTGTGGAAAAAAGAAACATCAGAGCTCAGAAATGACATGAAGGATATTAAACTCGGACCACAATACAGTGCTCATCTCTGCGCATGCGTATGTTCTGCAAACAAAAGTACACGTTATCATTTCATAAATGCAGTAATTTCCTGTTAGAAGCAGAAGCCTTCTAAATTAGCTTACACTAATCTATACGATGCATTTTAACTAGCAAAACACTTCCCTAATCACAGCAGTTGTAGCGTGCTGGATTTATTTTAGAGGAAGTTATTTGAAAGACGGTTTTCGGCTGATTCATGTTTATTAGGAAAATTCGCTCACTGTATCGTGTGCTACAGATTTAGCCGTCTACAAATAGAGACGCCTGGGATAATTCTCTATTGTAGTCATTTGAATGCTTAACTGGTAGATAAAAATGCAATTACCTGTAATAAGAATAATCCACTCGTCCCTGCTGAATCTCACAATCAGTCCTTCATCCGGAAGTGACGTCAGCAGGCCAGGATTGCTTCCCATTAGCTTTACAAAATTC